GAACACATGACAAACCAGCCACCTTCACCTCTGCAACCAGACCAGCAGGACTTTGGTTCTTCTTGGAGTTCTTTACCCCAAGCACCACCTTTTCCAAGCAACATAACTGCTGCATAACCTTTAGCATGTTTGTGTTGCCATGACAACAGGCATGCCACTGATTTGGGGCAAAATGACAAGTGCCCACTTGTAGAAAGCCATCAGGAGTCAAACAAATGCAATGACAAAGGGTCATCACTACTTGCTTTGGAGAAGTTCTGGTGAGTCCAGTTCTTAGAAACCAAATTCAAAATCTAAAACTCGAGGTCAGCTGTCAAGTCTAAGTGGATGAGAACAGAACTGGTAATGCAGGCAAAGCCAATGGGGAAGATTCCAAGATGGTGAACCAAAGTCAGAACAAAGTAAGAGAACTAGGGGTGATGGCTGCAGATATAGCTGGCTGAATACATTTTTACTGAGCACTGGAAGAGTGTGCATGGTGGAAAGTGGTGTGTCAGGATAATTTGAGCTACACATAAGAGTATCACTCAAAACTTAGACTTTACCAAAAGAAGCTTCTTGTCACACATACCCATTCTGGAGATAAGAAGATTCAGAGTTGGCTTAGAAACTCAGTGTCATCAAGTATTTGGGTTCCTGCAACTCTTCCACTCTGTCGTAATTAGGATGCCAGCAGCATCTACCTCACTGACACAAAATGGCTGACACAACTCCAAACACTATATCCTCACACAAAAACACCCAAGAATACAAAGGAAGGGATGTCTCTCACTTATCAGAAAGGAAATGTCTCTCCTAGAAGTCTTCCCCTTAAGTGTCCTGGAATAGGACTGGTCACATACCTATTTGTTAGCTCCAAGGTAGCCTGGGAAATCACCTATCAGGCATTTTCGCCATCTATCATGACAGAGAGCCAAAATATGACCTTGATTATATCCCTCCTGAATTTAGAGACCATTTAAGGAATAGATTTGATGCATTGAACATCAATGACCAAAAACCAGAGAACTGTGGGATGACATCAAGAACATCATCCATGAAGAAAGCAAAAGGTCATTAAAAACACAGTAAAGGAAGAAAAGACCAAAATAGATGTCAGAAGAGACTCTGAAATTTGCCCTTGAACAGAGAGTAGTGAAAGCAAATGGAAGAAATGACAAGATAAAAGAGCTCAACAGAAGACTTCAAAGAGCAGCTTGAGAAGACAAGGTCAATTATTATAAAGAAATGTGCAAAGACTTACAGTTAGAAAACCAAAAGGGAATAACATTCTTAGCGCTGAAAGAACTGAAGAAAAAATTTAAGCCTTGAGTTGCAATATTGAAAGATTCTATGGGCAATATATTGAATGATGCAGGAAGCATCAAAAGAAGATGGAAAGAATACACAGAGTCCCTGTACCAAAAAGAACTGGTCAATGTTCATCCATTTCAGGAAGTGGCATATGATCAAGAACCAATGGTATTGAGGGAAGAAGTCGAAGCTGAACTGACAGAACTGGTGAAAAAAAAAGGCTCTAGGAATTGACGGAATAACCATTGAGATGTTTCAACAAATGGATGCCATGCTGGAGGCACTCACTCAGCTATGCCAAGGGATTTAGAAGACAGCAACCTGGCCAACTGACTGGAAGAGATCCATATTTGGACCCATTCCAAAGAAAGGTGATCCCACAGAATGTGGAAATTATCAAACAATATCATTAATATTGCATACAAGTAAAATCTTACTGATGATAATTCAAAAATGGTTCCAGCAGTATATTAACAGAGAACTTCCAGAAATGCAAGCTGGATTCAGAAGAGGACATGAAATGAGGGATATTATTGCTTCTGTCAGATGTATCTTGGCTGTAAGCAAAGGACACCAGGAAGATGTTTACCTGTGTTTTACTGACTATGCAAAAGCATTTGATTGTGTGGATCATAACAAATTATGGATAACGTTGAGAAGAATGGGAATTCCAGAACACTTAATTGTACTCATGAGAAACCTGTACACAGAGTAGGAGGCTATTGTTTGAACAAAACAAGGTGACACTGCATGGTTTAAAATCAAGAAGGGAGTTCTATACTTTCACCACACTTATTCAACCTGTAGGCTGAGCAAATAACCTGAGAAGCTGGACTATACGAAGAAGAACGTGGCATCAGGATTGGAGGAAGACTCATTAACAACCTATAATACGCAAATAACCCAACTTTTTTTGCTGAAAGTGAGGATGACTTGAGGTACTTACTTATGAAGACTGAAGACTGTAGTCTGCAATACAGATTACACCTCAAAATAAAGAAAACAAAAATCCTCACAACTGGACCAATAAGCAGCATCATGATAAATGGAGAAAAGATTGAAGTTGTTGAAGACTTCATATTACTTGGTTCTACAATCAACACCAATGGAAGCAGCAGTCACGATATCAGACAACGTATTGCATTGGGCAAATCTGCTGCAAAAGACCTCTGTCAAGTGATGAAGAGCAAAGAAATCTCCTTGAAGACTAAGGTGTGCCTAACCCAAGCCATGGTATTCTCAATCACCTCATATGCATATGAGAGCTGGACAATGAATAAGGAAGACTGAAGAAAAATCAAGGCTTTTGAGTTTTGCTATTGGCAAAGAATACTGAAAATACCATAGCTAAAAGAGCTAACAAATCTTTCCTATAAGAAGCACAGCCAGAACGCTCCTTGGAAGCGAGAATGGCCAGACTTCGTCTCACCTACTTTGGTCATGTTGTCAGAAGGGACCATTCCCTGAAGAAGGATATCATGCTTGGTAAAGTGGAGGGTCAATGAAAAAGGGAAGGACCTCAACAAGATGAATTGACAGTGGCTGCAACAATGGGCTCAGGTATAGGAAGGATCATGGGGCTGGCACAGGGTTTTGTTCTATTGTACATAGGGTTGCTATGAGTCAGAGACGACTCAATAGCACCTAACAACATCATGACAGATGGCCTCACCAAACAGGAAGAAGAAGAAGACATAGAGAGGTACATGGGAGGTGCAGACAACAAAGGTGAACCCTTTTGCACATACAGTACTGCGTTGTCAGTGAAAGCAAACACAGGTATATGGGTGGATAGATGGGTGGGCAGGCTGAACTATTAGATATGTCTTTGCAGAAGGGAGTGTACCCAAGACCATGTATAGGGTTGGCAGAAAATGGTTCTACAAGTGTATTTGTATATTCTATAAGAATTTCCAGGGGTATAGTAGAGCTGACAAGGGGCAAGGTTATAGTCACTTCTTGGTCACAGCCAGCTACCCAGAGGGAGTGAGTAATTGAACCTGTGGGCTCAGGACCATAGTCACAGGGGACATCAAGCTCAATTGGCATAACATACTACACAAAACATTGTTTCACCTCCTACTTAGGCGAGTAGCAACTGGGATCTTAAAAGCTTGCAAGCAGCCATCTAGATGCAATGATAGGTCTCTCCTTGTCCAGAACAAAGAAGAATGAAGAAAACCAAAGATTCATGGAAACAATTAGTCCTCGTGACTGGTACACCATGCGATCCTCAGTCTATATGACTATGAGACCAGAAGAACTAGATGGTGCCCAGCTACCACTGTCGACCACTCAGAGGTGGATCTATGGAGGAGATCCTAGGTAGAGAAGGAGAATAATGTGGAACAAAACTCAAAATCATTTGGAAAAAAAAAAGGGGGCAAAGACCAGGTTTGCTGGTCTGATAGAGCCTGGTAGAACCACTGAGACTATAGTCCCTAGCTGCTCTTCAGGTCTGGAATTGAACCAACACCTGTGGCTTCCAGCCAAACAAAAGACAGGCATATGAGTTGAACATGTACCTGAGGTAGATACACTCCTTGGATAGAACAATCATGGGAGAAAGAGAGGCTGTTTATGCACAGGGAGACAGCTCAGGGGGCAGGAGTGCATGGAGGGATGGACACAGGGAAGAGGTAACTATCAGGAAGAAGTGGGAGGGGAGCTGTTGCACTGGGGTAAATTGTAGTCAATGTCATGAGACAACATGTGTGTGAACTGCTGTATGGAAAGTGAATTTGCTCTGTAAACTTTCACCCAAATCACAATTTAAAAAAAGAAGAAGAAGAAGGTGAAGACTGTGAATGGCTCTAACATGTACCAAGATTTTTGGTTTTTTTTTTTTTTTTTTTAATTACTTATACTGTCATTTAGTCAATATTTTCCTTAAATCAATTTGCTATTTTTAACCTAAATTTTTTGCTTCGACCAGAAATTTTATACCACCACCATAAATGCAAAAACATTTCTAGATACTTTTTTTTTCCGATCCATATTCAAGTAAATTTGTACTGGTTAAAACAAAAATTATTTGCTCCTGTTTTACTTGTATCTCTTGTCCTGCCAGCAGGACTCAGACTTTGGAATGAGTGGTAGCAGGATAAACTCATTTCCTCCTAATTCCTGGGCCCTGAAATTAGGAACTGTCAACAAGGGGCTATAAAGTACATCAGAAAGTACCAGCATAACTACCTTTTTATAGGAAAGCTCTCTCCTCCATTCTCCATTCCCTAGCTATAAAGCCGAAAACACTTGGCAAAGTCATGGGGGCACTAGCTGGTTTCCTGTCCAGTCACCATTAAAAAAACAAAACAAAACAAAACAAAAACCACTGCCATCGAGTGAATTCCAACTCATACTGCCCCCCATTGAGTTTCCAAGGCTGTAAATCTTTACAGAAACAGATTGCCTCATCTTTCTTCCATGGAGCAGCTGTTGGGTTTGAACCACCAACCTTTTGGTTAGCAGCCAAGTGCCTTAACCCTACACCACCAGAGCTTCTTTGTCCAGCCACAGTCCCGCTTAAAATGTTTTGCTCTGTTTTCATTAAAATGAAAACCATCTCTGAGGTTGTAGGAACCACCGCCTATCCATACCTTGGAAAGAAAACATCCCTACTTCTTTGTCTGAGTGGACTCAGACACACCTACTGAAAAAGATGCACTTGCCGTGGACAGGAACAGTGAGCAGTGCCTGTTACTTACATCCGAGGCTGGACCCTTGTCAGCTCCTGGGCAGGAGAAGGTGACGAATTCATGGCACCGTTTGTGCACAACAAAGCAGCAGACTGCAAAAGAGAAAAAAAAGGAGGGGGGGAGATCATTAGGCTTGAATTGCACACAAGCAAAGGTTTGTACCAAAACAAATAATGACTTCAGCTTCAATACTTCTCCTTTACTCAAGTCCAACTCTTCAATGAACTGAAGTTGCATCTTGCACAGGAGTTGAGTTCTGAGGTTAACTAGGGTTTACAAGATCACATGGGCTTAACATGAAAACCTTTAACGATCCAGTGAATTGCCTGGTCCTTTCTTGGTTTGGGGCCAGAATACTGCTGCTTGGATCAGACACCAGATGAAGGAGTTGGCTTGTGTTTGGGCCCATAATGTAAACAAAATGCATCTCTTTAAACATTGGAACCACACTTAGAGAGAGAAGCTGTTCATATTATGAGGTTCATGTCTAACCTGGGAGTGGGCAAGAATCACAGACCAGTGCCTCTCATGTCTCCCACGTGCAGGAGAAAGATGAGGTAGTCAGCATGCTTCCATAAAGATTTACCATTTTGGAAACCCCACGAGGCAACTCTACTCTGCCCTACAGGGTCACTACGAGTCGGAATAACTCGACAGCAGTGAGTTTTGGTTTTGTTTATGATACGCATGGCTCTACTATTTAGGTAAGACATTATATACCTGGAGAGAGGGACAGTCTGAGAACATATACACAATAAAGCATATTAATTTATTTTTGTTCAAGTCTCCTTTTACAGTTTTGTTGTTCAAATTCTCTGTTACAAACTCTACTTTGTGAGTTCCTAGAAGATGGATGCCGTGCTGTAGGGACCAGCTCTGAAGCTTCTAAAGCACATGCTCAGTAAACAAAACTAGGACAGAAAGCCTCTAGGGGCCCCTGGTGACGCCTAGAGCATCTGTGCAACAATCCTCAATGGCTGCTGAAAACACGAAAAACAGAACCAGTGCTGTCCTGCCGATCTGACTCATGGCCACCCATGTGTGTCAGAGACCTACGCCCCAGAAGGTTTTCAATGGCTGACTTCTCAGAAGTGAATCTCCAGGTCTTTCTTCCAAGTTGCTTCTGGGTGGACTTGAACCTTCTACTTTTGGGTTAGCTGCGAATGCTATACCCTTTGCACCCCACAGAGACTCTCAATGGCTGCTAACCTCACAAAAAAGAGAGATAACCAGACTCAGCCTGCCTACTGATAGGGCTCACACCACCATCCATGAAGGACTCTTCCCAGAATAACCAACTCTGAGTAGGTCCAGGCTTCTTGATCTAACTACTAATTTACAGACAATATAGGTGACATAGTAATAATGACACCAGAGATGGAAACAAAGGGCGGTTATGGGTTCACAACATTGTGAAGTCTGTACACCTAAAAACAGTTATAAAGGCAAACTTTTTTGTTATATATATTTTTTACCACAATTAATTTAAAAGAATAAAATAAAATAAAAATCACATCACAGAGAGGCAATCAGCCAAAAATGCAGGATGTGAAAAACTTTTTTTCCTCTTGCAGTTTATTTGTTCAAAACACTTGTGTTTTGAACAAATAAACTGCAAGACGAAAAAAAGTGAGTGGGGGGAGACAGAATAGAAAGTTACATATTAAAAGACATTCAAGAAACATATCAAGTAAATGCAAAATATGTGTGGACCTTACTTGGGTCCTAATTTGAATAAACCAATATTTTTAAAAATTATGAGCTAATCGGGAAAATTGATATTCTTGCTTTTTGATGATGTTAGGAAATTACTATAATTCATATTAAAACTCACTGTCATTTAATCAATTTTGACTCATAGCAACCCCCATAGGGTTTCCAAGCCTGTAAATCTTTAAGGAAGCAGACTGACTCACCTTTCTCCCATGGAGCAGCTAGTGGACTAGAACTACTGACCTTCTGGTTAGCAGCCCAATGTCTTAACCACAGTGCCATCAAAACTCCTAATTGCTACTTAAAAGAAAAAAAACCTCACTGCCATTGGGGCATTTCCAATTCATAGCAATTCCCAATGAGTTTCTAAGGTGATAAATCTTTACGGAAGTAGATTGCTCCATCTTCCTTCCTCAGAGTGGCTGGTGGATTTGAACTGCCAACCTTCTGGATAGCAGTCAAATACCTTAGGCACTATGCCACCAGAGCTTCTTTAATTGACATTGTTGTTGTTGTTGCTGTTGTTGTCATATGCCATCAAGTTGGACCTGACTCACGGCGACCCCTCCTTGGGTTTCCGAGACAGTATCACTACGGAAGTAGGTTGCCCAACCTTACTTCCGAGGAATGGCTGGTGGGTTTGAACCATCAGCCTTCTGGTTAGCAGTCAAGTGCCTTAGGCATTTTGCGAAGGTACAGCTAACCCTTAACTGATATTGTTGTTGCTGTTGTTGTTATTTGCCATTGAGTCGGCCCCAACTCATAGCGACCCCTCCTTGGGTTTCCAAGGCAGTATCACTACAGAAGTAGATTGCCTCATCTTCCTTCTGAGGAGTGGCTAGTGCGTTTGAACTGCCAGCCTTCTGGTTAGCAGTCAAGTGCCTTAGGCACTACGCCTAGGGAAATATAATTTGTGATGTAATAAATAATATTGAGATTATGTATTCCACTTTGTTTTTTAAAGACTTCTTTGCTTTCGAGGATGTAACCTAAAATCTTTATGGGTAAAATTAGTTAAGTCAAAATAACTCCGTTTGCCAGAGACAGGCAAGGGGGCAAAGTTATTATAGGTGAAAAAGTTTTGGCCATGAATTGATCATTATTGAACTTGGGGTGGGATCCCAACTCTGCTTCATATTGTACCCCATACCCAAACTCTCTATTCTAACCACTAAAATGTATTCATTGCCTTCCAAGAGAACCAAATCAAGTCAAAGTTTTGATTTTTTTTTCTCATTGGAGAAATTTCAAGTCTACCCAATTCTCACTGGACTCTACAGTGGAAAACTGGCACCTTTGGGAAGCCTATAAGATCCACATCAACCTGAGACAAAAATTCCAGCACTGTCTACACATCAGTGTGGTGGAAGAAGAAAGATAAACACCCTCAGAGCTGTCCTCTGCCCTCATCTCTTCCCAGATGCCCTAAACCAGCCACCTCTCAAGAGCATCATCTGCAGGAGTCACGGTTCTGGTCTAGAATCAGACAGAACTCAGTTACAACTCTCATTCTACCACCTATAAGCTGAAGAACCAATTACTACGCCTCTCTGGGCATCTGTTTCCTTCTGCAAATGTGGGATAATAATAGTACCTCTTGTTACAAGGGTGTTGCGAAACTCAAATGAGACAACATATGTGAAGTTGTTGTCGGGAGGGGCATGAGCTGGAGCCACCAGCATGCAAATTCTGTTTTGCAATGGCTGTAGAGGGCCACTCTTCCTCCCAGGTCCAAGCTGACTAGGTCTCTGCCTAGTGCCCAAGATGTGGTGAAATCATGTCCATGACTGAAAGCAAAAAGGTCTGGCCACCAATTCCACCCAACACCTGGCCTCACATGGGCACACTACTTGAGTTTGACAAGAGTTTTCCTCCCTATGATTTCAACTGAGCCGCATCGTGGTCCTGTGAGGAAAGTGTTATGATCCTCATTATATCAAGAGGGATACTGATGCTGGGAGAGAAGTAATTTGCCCGTGATCATTCAGCTAGTCGGTGGCAAAGTTGGCGTTTGAAACCAGGTTTGCCTTCCTCTAGAGCCCACACTCTCAACTCATATGGTGCGGTTGCGTTTATGTTTGTCATTCATTTGACTGTTACAGAAGAAAACCGCCCCCACTTTCCTCACCCCCACCATTCAGTCAGTTGCTAAATCCTACTGATCCTTCCCTCGCAACATCTTTTATACCATATTCTCCTGTACATTCCCTCCCAACTCCACCTTAACTGGCCTCAGTAACTGAGACATGGAATTTTGCAATAGTGCCTTTTCTGGTCTCCCCAACTCCAGCCAGTCCACCTTCATCTTTCACTTCTATGAGCCAAAGATTCCTTAAACATAAAGGAGGTAAGACCACCAATGTCACAGGGCTGCTATGAAAACTCAATGAGATGTCATTCAGGAAAGCTTGCAGCCATGTCCTGCACAGAGTAAGCTCATCCCTCAAGGATGGATGGTTTTGCAGTAGAAGCTCTGCAGTCAAACTGCCTGCATCCCACGCCTGGGCATCATTGTTGAGTCTGTAATATAGGGATAAAAATAGTGCCCTCTTTATAGAGCTGTCGTTGTTGTTGTTAAGTGTGTTGAGTCAGCTCCAACTCACAGTGACTCTACTGCCCAGTCCTGTGCCAGCCTCACAAGCCCTGCTACACCTGAGCCCATCGTTGCAGCCACTGTGTCAATCCATCTCATTGAGGGTCTTCCCCTTTTTCGCTGACCCTCCACTTTACCAAGCATGATAGCCCTCTCCGGGGAATGCTCCCTTCTGACAACATGACCAAACGAGGTGAGACCATAGAGGTATTAGAAGGATTAACTGAGTTAGTATTAGCAAAAAGTCCACAAACAGTAAACGCCCAATGCTGCTAAGTCAAAATTATTCCTACCAACTCCCCCTCTCCATCTCCATGTAGCCTACACACTCCTGGAAAATCTATCCTCTGAAAATGCAGCTTTGGTTATATCCCCCTGCTCTGGAATTCACTGGCTGTCTATTGCCTGCCGTACAATCAGACCCAACTCACAGCAACCCCTCCTTGGGTTTCTGAGGTTTCCAAAGCTGTATCACTACGGAAATAGATTGCCCAACCTTCCTTCCAAGGAGTGGTTGGTGGGTTTGAACTGCCAGCCTTCTGGTTAGCAGTCAAGTGCCATCTGTTGCCTAGAGCTTCTCTATTCATATGGTAACCACTAGCACATGTAGCTATTCAAATTTAAGTCAATTAAATAAATTTAAAATTCAGTTCCTCATTCACACTATCCGCATCTTAAGTACTTAATAGCCACATGAGTATTAGACAGATATATTTCCATCACCGTAGAAAGCTCTATGGGACAGCAATGGCCAAGAGAATAAAGTTCAAATACCACAGCCTGGCA